CAAGAACAGAACAGAAACAACAATCATACAAACAAAAGCAAAAGAAAACTGATACTAACAATATACTAGTCTTTTATGTTTTCTGCCCGTTATTTTTGTTGACCGATGTATATCGCCTGTGGGTACCCCCAGCAAGTCAGTGTACTTACGTTAAGTTCTTTTATTGTTGTCGTCAAGTGCTGTTCATGTGTATTTCGCTCATTCAGTTCGCTGCAAATGATCAAATTACAACATATCATTAAACCATATATATCACCTAGTCCTTGCTAAAATTAAGATATGCCGTTTCCTTTCTCTAGATAAATATTAATAACTGTACCTTTGAAGCTCAGTCACTTTGGCCTGGTGATGTAATATCAACAACCATTAGTTTTTGATTGAAGTTATTTTATCACTTATTGGACAAAAATATTGACATGATCGACTTACGTTTAGTTTGTCCATTTCTTTTTTGAAATTCTTTTCTTTTACTTCATTCTCCATCTCATGATCGCTATCATATAAGGAGAGAGAGTGGAGGGATTAGCTGGGAGTAGAGCGGATTTCGTATGAGTGGGAAACGGACGGTACTGTACTGTGACCGTAATCGTACTGTAACCAAATTTTAGTGCCCCATTGGTTCACAAAAATTGTGCAGGCAAGGTCCGGTAACTGTGCGGTGACCGTGCGGTAACGGTGTCCCACTCATACGAAATCCGCTCTATACAGCAGGCGGTACCAAAGGATATAGTTATTTTGATTGTTTTCATAATTTACCACTAACAACTATCAATTGTCATCGTTTTCATGTAATATTAAAAATGTACGAGTTTGATCGCTGTTGCCGCATTTTATTCTACTGTACATGCCTCTATACATTTTTGCAGAAATGCACATGTCAACTGCATTGTATATTGTAGCTTTACTCACCTTTTCTGTTTGAGCTTAAGCTGTGAATAAAATATATATAGAATTAAAACAATAATCATTTGTTCAAGTTGCGTTACTAATCTTTCACGGTTTTGAGGGGTTATTTTATTCGACCGATGTGTATTGCCTGTGGCTGCCCAGCAAGTCAGTGTACTTACGTTAAGATCGTCGATTGTTGTCGTCAAGTTCTGTTCATGTGTATTTCGCTCATTCAGTTCGCTGTAAATGATCAAATTACAACATATCATTAATCCATATATCACCTAGTCTTTGCTAAAAGTAAAGTATTCCTGATTCGATACTTTAAATAGCCCGTACGCATCAGGGAATGAAGGAGGTTTCCTAGGCATTAGGGGAAGGGTCACAGAACAGGGACGTGTAGGGATGGGTTTGAATACTTCAGGGTTACTCATAATACAAACGTACTTCTATTGCTAAAGGATATTATCATTAAACTATTTTCATAATATACCATTTTCGTCATCGTTTTTCTGTACTGATTTTCTTGTTCAAGC